CTAAGCGAAAAAGAGTTCGAAGTGAGATTTGAATTGACTTTCAAGAACTCTTTAGTGAAAGAGCTGGGAAGCTACCATGAAGGTGATATTTGTGTGAAGAGAGCAGAGTAGGCCCCTTACCTCCTTCTCCAGGAACCCAATCTCTGTCAGCCGAGTCACCGTGGGGGACAAAATCCCAATAACGACACATCCTTGACCTGTTCTCAGGTGCTTTGGAAAGCAGAAGACCTCACACAGGTGCTGTGCGTGTGCCAGACGTGGGAGGGAGTTTGGCTTTTTGCCAGAGAAGAAAACTTTGAGTGTAGCATCTCAAGGTTGTCGCCCAGACAACTGTCATCTAAATTCTCTGATAAGACTTAGGACAGACCTTGCGGAAATCTGGACAAGGAAGAAGCCATTTCTGTGTTGTTTCAGGGATATGAAAGCTCTGAAGCCAACTATCACCTGTTTTTCTTGTTTTCTTGCGATTTTCCCTCATTTGTAGGTAAAATACAAATGCCTTCTGTATCCACTGGGCATTGATTCCAGGATCTCCCTTGCATACTGAAATCCACAGATGCTTAAGTCTCTTATAGAAAACGCTAGAATATTTGTGTACAACCTAAATACACCCTCTTGTGTCCTTTAGATCATCTCTAGGTTACTAATAATAACGGATACAATGTAATTGCTGTGGAAATAGGTATTATTCTCTCTTTTTCAGGGAATAATGATAAGGAAAAAGGTCTGTACATGTTCAGTACAGACCCGAGTTTTGTTTTTTATTTTGAAGTATTTTCAATCAGTGGTTTGTTGAATCTGTGGATGCAGAACCCATGGAGGGTTGACCGTATAAAGAGGCACCAGAATTTACTAAGAAAGACACATAGGTGTCCACTCCTGGTTAAGTGGAATTGCCAAGGCCTTTCAGCCCGTATCTGTCTTTCACAGAGTTAAACTTGGAAAAAATGTCCTTAACTTTCCTGAGCCTCCATTTCTCCATCTAAATGATAGGAAGGGACACTTACCCTATGGGGCCATTGTCAAGTTTTCTGTATCCACACAATATTCAGAAGGAAGCAGATATTCACTCTATGTTAGTTTTTCCTTTCTCTTTTTCCTGAATTTGGAGGAAAAGACATAAGCATAAGAAATAGGGCCTTCATAGGACACTTGCTGATATAAAAACCCTCTAATTGAAACCTCTTTTATTAAGACAAACTGTGGTTTTGGAAGATAAAAGAAATTGTTTTACACATTCCAATTTACTCACTAAAGGCCTTTGAAATATATACATAAGCCAAGCTGGTTAAAGAAAAAAAAAATAAGTTAGAATGAATGGATTGTATTAAATGAATAAGAATGTAATAGAGAGATAACATAGCTGGGTCCTCCCGTGGTCAGACCACCTGGCTCAAATCCTGGTTTTGTTTTGCCCTCCTGGTTGAGTTATTCAATCGTCTGTGTCTCATTCTTCTCCTCTATAAATGGGAATGACCACTGGGGAGGGCCAGTGGAAGATTAACTGAACGAAAAAACATAAAACATGTCGACAGGACCTGGCGTGGTGTGGCCACTTAACATTAGCTATTGCTAACAATCCAAAATGCAAATGTGAGCCGCCTTGTTTGTGAGGGAACAAGGACAAGGAAATAGTTTCTAACACAACTCAGGGTATTTTTCCACACAAACCCCGGCTGTCCCAAAAGGTGTTAGGGCATCTGGGAGGTGGCCATTTGAAAGGAATTTAACCAATGGTTACATCCCTGCGTCCCCGTCTCATGCTGTAGATCAGTGCCAGCTCCGTGTGCGAGGCATTACTCATACTGTCTCCTCACACAGCAGTTAACCTTGCTTGTCACTGCTTCCAGTGGGAGATCAAGAGCATTGAAATTACGGAGGTGGCACAATAAATCATGGTCACTTCTTGACATGGCCAGACAAAGCAGCTGGAAAGAGTCTCGCTGCAATGTCAGCTCAAAGTTGAAATGCAAAGTTTTTAACATGTTAATTCTCTCTCTCTCTCTCTCTCTCTCTCTCTTTATTGTCATCCTGATGTTTTCTGCTTCCCCTGATGACTCAAATGAGTGGACAGAAGATCAACCTTGGCAGCTTGGTGGGTTCAATCACAATGCATGGTTTTCCTCCCTCCCTCCCTTCATCCCTCCCTCCCTTCCTTCCTTGCCCCCCCACCTGCAGTTGTGAACATGAGACTTTGCATCTATGAATCCTCAAGTTTCAGCATCTCACTTTCTGAACACAAACTCTTTGAGAAGGAGGCTGTCCCAAGAATTAACCTTGTGGCCTGAATGAAGCAGGCACTGGTCAATTATGTGCCCTGTGAATGGATGGTAGTTCTGACCTACTGGCTCTCTCATGCCTTAAAAAAGATTTTAAATTATTATGTTTTATATTAATTATACTTATTAATGAGGTTCAGTATGATATTTCTCCATATATATATATGTGTATATATATATATTGATTTATATATATTTTTATATATATATATATATATATATATATTTTTTTTTTTTTTTTTTAGGTGTAGGTGGACAAAATACCTACCTATATTTATTTATTTTTATGTGGTGCTGAGGATTGAACCCAGTACTTCACATGTGCTAGGCAAGTGCTCTACCAACCAGCCATGACTCCAGCACCTCAGTGTGATAATTCAATAAGCATATAAAAAATGTTCTTTGGGGGCTGGGGTTGTGGCTCAGTGATAGAGCGCTCACTAGCACGTATGAGGCCCTGGATTCGATCCTCAGCACCACATAAAAATAAATAAACAAAATAAAGGTATTGTGTACAACTAAGAAATAAATATTTTAAAAAAATGTTCATTGACCAAATCCAACCTCCCTTTACCCACCCTCCCCTTACCCCCTTTTCAACCTCTAGTAATTACTATTCTACCTTCAGGTTGACTTTTCTGGCTGTCTCTTGCTTGCTTTCATTCCTCCTGTTCTTCTGTCAAGCTTTCCTCTCCTAGCCCTTCAAGTGTCTCTCAGATATCAGCTGGTCAAACACTTCCAGGAGCGTCGCCTTCCTGGTTTTAGTTCTCTTCCTATCCCACTTAGACCCCATGGCCCAGGACTTAACCTTGTTTTTTTTTTTTTTGTGAGGGTATAGAATCTACCCTACCTCATTCAGTAATCAGTCTTGTCTTTTTGTACAGAGCAAATGAATTTTGTGAAAGCTGTACATCTCTTTCTAGAAACATATGCACATATACCAGGCGAACAGTTAGGCACATGATGTTTTTGGACCTTCTGGGGGCATCTTCATGAATCCAAGATAAAGACTGTGCTTTTTTAAAATTTTGGTACCAGGGATTGAACTCAGGGGCACCGGACCACTGAACCACATCCCCAGCCCTATTTTATATTTTATTTAGAGACAGGGTCTCACTGACTTGCTTAGTAGTGCCTCACCATTGCTGAGGCTGGCTTTGAACTCATGATCCTCCTGCCTTAGCCTCCTGAGCAGCTGGGATTTCAGGCATGTGCCACTTGTAATTGCCTGTTTAATTATGAATAGCCACCAGGGGGAATCTTTTCTCCTTGAGGGCAGGGAACAGATTTTTCTCAACTTCCAATCCACTACAATACGGCTTCTCATATTCTTGGGCTACTCTTCAGAAGGACCAAAGTGCCCCAAAGGTTACCCAGAGGCCAAGTCCTGAACATGATCTCATTTTACTTGACTGCCCAGCAGCATTTGTAGTATGTCTCACTCTTTTCTTGGTTTTCATTCTTCAGATTCATTTTCTTGGCTTTCACGACACCCTCCTTTTTCTGCTATCTTCTGGCCTCTTCCGCCCCTTCTTTCCTGGCTTATACCCTTGAATGCTCATCTTGCTAAGGGCTCTACTTCTAGTTCCTCTTTCCTCAAACTCCACATCCTCTTTCTGAGGAACTGTATCTCCTCTCATGGTTTCTACCACTATGTGTACACTGATGATATCCAAATGGTGTCCCAGCCCTGACCTCCTTACTTTACACCCCCTATCTTTCTCTGTATCTGCCTGTCAGAGGGCTCCAGTTTTCTTGGTGATCTTGTGCTTGGTGTATCCACCAGGGGGAGAAGAGTGACTCTTCACTTCAGACGTGTTCATCCATGGGGTTCCTGTCCACTGGCTTAACACTTCTCACCTCTCTGCTTCCTCTCCACTTTGGAGAGGAGAAACTCCCTCATTGGTGAGCTGCTCTCGGAGAGCATGTGCTCTTGACCTGCACATGGTAAGATCTTGCAACTACCATGGGAGCCTAAGGGAAACCAGTCCTCTCAGAGTGGGGAGGACCAGCCACAGTCTCATTCAGGGGCTCAGTGTGAGCAAGTCTACTTGCCTGAAGGTGGACACTATGTTCTGTAATATCAACCTTGTTTGAAATATGGGGGCATTTTGATCTCGTATTTGCTTCACTATTTTGCTTTATTTCTTTAGTGATTCAGAACTCCAGGCACATATTTGGCTGGAGAGTAGGAGAAGGGTGGGGAATACTTTCAAGAGCTAATATTATCCTAAACTGAATCCATCATGTTCTCATGCATTTTTCTTCAGAATTTGCCTCTCTGGTTTCTTTCACCTGTCTCAAAGCCAGGTCTCTTATTTTCTCTCATTGGTCTTTCTAGAACATAGTTACCTGCAAGAAAAGTTTTCTTAACACCTTTAACCTGTGTTAATGGAGGAACAGAGAGATTTCACACCAGTTTTCCCATTTTGTAAAAGGAGTATAAAGGGACTCATGGTTTTTATTTTATTTTATTTTATTTTTACATTTATGGAGGGAAGAAAAGAAAGACTTCTTGGTCATGACTATGATCTTGGATTAACTGAACAAAATAAAATGTCTCTAAATACTGTCAGGCAGCCCAAAGGAAGCAAAAAATAGAGCTCTTACTCTCATGAAGTTTTTTATTTAAATAGGAGGACTGCATGAACCAGAGAGACACACAACCACAAACAATACTAAAATATTAAGATAAATAGGGGAGTTAAGATAAATAGATGGGTGCTTACTTCTGCAGCACATATACTAAAATTAGAACGATACAGAGATTAGCATGGTTCCTGCACAAGGATGACATACAAATTCGTGAAGTGTTCCATATTTTACTGCTAAGCAAAGGAAGTCAATCCCAAAACTTCATGGGCCAAATGTTTTCTCTAATAAGTGGATGCTAATTTATATTGGTGGGTGGGTGGGTGGGTGGGTGAGTAGGGGAGGGATGAGTGGAGGAACTTTGTATGAGCAAAGGGGAGAGGGGAAGGGGCATGGGGGTAGGAAAGATGGTGGAATGAGACAGACATCATTACCCTAGGTACAGGTATGACTGCACAAATGGTGTGACCCTACTTTGGGTACAACTAGAGAAGCCAAAAATTGTGCTTCATTTGTGTACAATGAATTGAAAAACATTCTGCCGTTATGTATAACTGATTAGAACAAATAAATAAATTGAAAAATAAATTTAAAAAGACAAATAGGGGAACTACAGGAATAATTTTTTTTTTTTTTGGTATTGGGGATTGAACTCAGGGATGCTTAACCACTGAGCTACATCTCCAACCCCCACTCCTTTTATTTATTTATTTAGAGATAGGACCTTGCTGAGTTGCTTAGGGCCTTGCTAAGTTGTTGAGGTTGGCTTTGAACTCCTGCCTCTGTCTCCCGAGCTGCTAGGATCATAGGTGTGCACCACCATGCCTGACTACAGGACTGATTTCAAATGAAAGTGCTGGCATGACTGGATGAGGTAGGGAGGTAGAACACTATCTTCCAGCAGCCACTGACCACTATTATCATCATTCATAGAGATAATATTTTGTTGGAGTAGATCAGGAACCCGAACTCTTAAGTCCAAATAAATTGCCTTGTACCTCAAGATTTCTTAGTTTGAGCCCTTCCCTTCTTCTGCCCAGTTCTAGATTTACTGATTGACTCATTGTATAAATATGTACCTGTTTTTGTTATTTTTTCCCCCAAACTTTATATATATCCTGACCCCACTCCAGCAGGTATAAACTCAGTCCACAGCAACAAGAATGAGCACATTCAATGTTTTCTTTAAGTAATAATAAATCTGTTAGGCTGGGGTTGTGGCTCAGCGGTAGAGCGTTCTCCTAGTACGTATGAGGCCCTGGGTTTGATCTTCAGCACCACATAAAAGTAAATAAGTAAAATAATGGTATTGTGTCCAACTACAACTAAAATAATAATAATAATAATAATAATAATAATAATAATAAATCTGTTGCTGAACCCCTACTCTACAGGTGGTTTGGAAAGTCAGTGTTACTCCTTACTATGGCTCTCTGAGGACTTCCATCCCTGAATTCCACAAGGGATTTGGGCCCTAAGGTTTGAGCACCCTGTTCTTCTGATCACAGAAATTCTTAGCAGTCCTGCTTTCAGACCGGGAAGCTCTGTTACTTGGGTGCTTTGTTTTGGACCCAGGAATCTTGGAGGGGGTTGAGAGACACTCTTCTTAGCTCTGTTCTCCGTAGGCATCCTCCAGAGCAACTCCTTCTATGCCTTATCACCTCCCTAGGTGATCCCTGGTACCATTGCGGATCTGGACTTCCCACAGGATTTTCATGCCTCTCCCCTGTATACACTTCTCTGTGTGTATTGTGTACCCCCAGGTTCACTTGTTGAAGTCCTAACCCCCAACACCTCAGAATGTGACCATATTTGGAGATAAGGCCTTTAAAAAGAAAATTAAGTTAAAATGAGGTCATGGGAAGGGCTCATCCAATATGACTGGTGTCCATAGAAAAAAGATTAAAAAACAAAGAGACCAGACCTGTGCCTGCCCAGAGAGGACCACACAGACATCCAGTGGCAAGTCAAAGGGAGAGGCCTCAGAAGGAACCGATTTTGCCAACACCTCAAGTCTCAGACTCCTGGTCTCTAAAATTGTGAGGAATCAGCTTCTGTTGTTTAAGCCACCCAGTCTGTGCCACATAGTTATGGCAGTCCTTAGAAAATGAATATACTCTGTATCCTTTGTTTTGGTTAAGCTTGGGCTTTTACGAAAGGAAAAAAGGGCCATTGACTTTGAGTAGCTTCTACTGTCTCACATTTCTGTGGCAAGAAATCAGTCAGGACCTTGCTTCTTGGAAGGGAGAGGTAGAGTGGAGGAGGAAGGGAACATGCAGTGAGATCCTAGGCCAGATGGCTTTTCAGTACAATATCTTTCCATAGTTTCTGTTTTCACATTCTCTGCCTTCATGCCTGGCTTTCTCCTTGTGACAGAGAAGGTTCCTTGCCTTATCTACCTTTCCACCGGCAGGTTCCATGTTTGTGGAGTCAACCCACCGTGGATTGAAGATGTAATTAGTCCCACGATGATGGCATCTGTACTGGACATGTATGGACTTCTTTATTTCTTGTCATCATTACCTAAACAATATAACATAGCAACTCCTCTCATGGCATTATATTGTATTAGGTCCAAGCAATCTAGAGCTGATTTAATGTATATAGGGGGATGTGCCTAGGTTATGTGCACCATTTTACATTCGGGACTTGAGCATCTGTGGAATTTAGTATCTGTGGGGGATACAGGGTCCTGGAACCATGGGTACTTAGAGATGACGTTGTATAATTCTCCATGAACTGACCCATCTTGGAAGGATTGGAAGATTTGAGAGTAATGACATACCAGATGCAAAAATAATTTTCTGACCACACTGTGTCCCAAGAGGTGAGTGGGGTTTTAGAGGACTCATCCTGAGTGTGGTTAGTCAAAGATTATTTCATAGAAACATCCTCAATATTTATTGAGGCTCCAGCTAAGCTGTTAGCCAAGTGAGCCAATTGATTGTCAAGCCCAGTTTCCACATCCATATTAAAAGTCAATTGGAAAAGACAGGATTTCCAAGCAGTTTATAGCCTACTTTATGTCTTCTCTTTTTACCACCCCGTTATCTTGGTAAGTCTATTACTCTGATTGGAAAAAATTGTTGTCTACTGGCATTAAAATGTACAGCCACTGATAAACTGTGACCAGTTCTTGGCTTTTTGCAAGATCTAGGAATATTAAGATGTCATTAAATATTTTATCTCCCTTCCTTCATGCTATAACTTTAATGCTGTGTTCAGAGATCATTACTCAGTAATGCTGGCAATCCTCCTCTCCTTTGAAGACATTCTTTACGAGAGCATGTAATATTCATTATTACTCTCTGTTGCCTGTTTTTGTTCCACAATCTACCCCCCGCCCCCCCAAAAGATTTTTCTAAGGGCAAATTATTTTAGGAAGATGTACATACTACAGAAAGTTTTGAGTAAAAGCAATCCCAGAGTATCCACATTTTTTTTTTAAGACATCAGTAGGTTGTATGTTAGAACGAAACATGTTTTTACAGCACTGTGGGCCCTGATTAATATGAAGCCTTATTGAGTGCTTGGAACTTTTACACAACTTTCAAAGAGCAGGTTTGTAGGGTGGTTAAGTCTTCCTCTATGTGAAGGGAGAGTTCTGGAGCATGCTGCAGCCAAAGGAGACAAGAAATCATGGAAGGACATTGTAAGCTGCAAGTAAAGAGGAAAAGTGTTTTCAGCCCTATGAATCCCTGGGTGATGTCTCCAAGTTTCCCTTCCCAGCTATTAGTTTTTTTTCCCCCAACAATTATTTTTAAACAATGAACATGATCCATTTCCTACTTGGGAGGGCTTAGGCGTTGCCTTGATAAAAGCCAGGAAACTGGAAAAAAAATTAATGCAGATGCTGTTGAGGTCCCTGGCTGATCCAGCCTCCCCAGGAAGCACCACCTTGGGGGATGACTTTCAGGACTTTCATCCCACTGAGCTGCTCTTGAACAGTTGGCTTGCATATCACCACAGACTGTCTTTCTGCCATTGATTTGGCCACTGTGTGGCTTCAAGTCACACTGGGCTCACTTCTTGCAACTCCATAGGGCCCCATGTCTGCATTCTGACCTTACTTGTGGCTTGTGCCCTATCCTTCTTTGCTTTTGCCCTGATTCCTTCAACTATTTTATTCATTTGTGATGTATATATTTTTGTAAGTTGCCTGAAATCCTTTGTGGATTGAGGTGAGGGTAAATATAGGCAAAGAGGGAAAATGAATTATGGAGTTTCCATTGTGGCTGACAGTTATGTGTACAGTTTGGAGGCTTGGGCAGGACAAGGGACTCCTCCTTCCAAAATATTGTGCTTATCAGACACTGGTAGGTATTTTTGGACCTTAAAATTGAAACACATGGGTCTGACACAATAGCAACAGGATACAATATTTGGAATAGGTCTGCTAAATTGAGGATGAATAGTCATAATATTTATAGATTAAATAATACAGAAAGAACAAAGGGGAAGCAAGAGAAACAACATAAATTTCTACAATTTAAAATAGCTTAGGTTCACAGATAAAGTAATTTAAAAGTTAACAACATTAAAGTATTATCTAGTATTTTTTTTTTTTCAAAAATCGAGACTGAAACATTTCAGATTGGAAGGATTTAATAATGTATAAAAAAATTAAAACCTTCTTAATTGCTTCCTTTTGGATGCCAATAACCAGTGCATTTTGACACATATTCTGTATCTACTTTTCCAACTATCGGATCTGAAATCTGAAGCTCTGATTCTCCTTTTAAGAGCAGATGGCTCCGTGATATAAGCAATACCCCCTGGATGCCATCAGTGGGGGTTTAGTTTGTAACAAGGACAAAAAGGTGGGCTTGGCTTGTTGTTGGTGACTTTGCATTGCATTTCTGTTCTCATTCTGAATTTTTCTGAAGTACAAATGTTTTGCCACCCACCCCTGCATAGAGCTTAGTAGGAGTACAGAAGACACTTGCACTACCTCCCATTGTACCCAGAGACTCTGTTCTGTATGGTGAGATTGTGTTCCAGGGTTTTGTCTTGGGCTTCTCCTGAGATTTCTGGAAGTTAATGAAGTAAATCAAAAATCGTTGAGCAAATGATTTCAGTCTCTGGAGGTAGAAAATGCTATGGGGCATGATGCCCATACAGGAAATGAGGATCTCATATCCCAGCAACAGAAATATTCACTCAACTTCTGAGCAAAAGTAGGTGTGATCAGTCTAATCCTGAAATGGAAAAGGCTGTGTGCACACTATTGAAA